CTCTCCTCTCCCTCCCCCCTGCTCTCCCTCCTCTCCCTTCCTCCTGCTCTCCCTCCTCTCCCTCACCCGGACCATCCCCTCCCTCTTTGTGCCCCTCCCCTTCCCTCCCTGTCTTCCTCCGTGTCTTCCTTCCTCGGTGTCTTTCTCCCTCCTCTCTTCCTCCCTTCCTCCTTCCCTCCCTCCCTTCCTCCCTTTTCTTCCTTTTTTCCCTTTTCTTCCTTCCTTCCTTTTCTTCCTGTTTTTCCTTTCCTTTCTTTCCCTCTTGCCTTCCTGTCTCCCCTCCTCTCTGTGTGTCCCCTTCTCTCTGTCTTGCCTTTCCTTATGTCTTTTTCTCGTTTGCTCTCTTTCTTTCTCACTCTTCCTTTATTTTAATTTCCTCTTACTTGCCTTCTGTCTTCTTTCATTCTTTCCATTGTTTCTTTGTTTTTAGTGGTATGTATGCTTTGTGAGCAATCAGACTATAGCTTGCAGAATAGTTGGGAGAGGCCAAAAATGCCCCTGAGAATGCAGACAAGGAACTTCTTAGTGAACATATGAACATCCTCACTCCAATCGGAGGATAACATTGTTTGTACTTCAAGGGCTAAAAAGCTGAGAGAGGGTCTCTGCTTTCTGTTACTTTTAGCACTCGAGTCATTTCTGCATGTGTTTCTATTGATTACTTTTTCTCCTATTTTGGTTCATATGTTTGCTGCTGCTTTGCATATCTAGTGATTTTGGATTAGATGAGTGATACTGTGAATTTTACCGTGCAGAATTGCTGAATTTTTTTTTTTTTTTTTTTTAATTTCTGTAAATATTTTTTTGGCATTGTTCTAGGATGTAGTTACCTGGAAAAAGTGACATCCTTTTGAGAGGCTTGCTTTTAAGCTTTGTTAGGTGGAATCACAACAGTCTTTAGTCAGCTCACTAAGGACCAATACTCTTTTAAATACTTACCATAACATCATATGAATTTTCATATTTTTCCACTTCGGCTGGTAGGAACACCTGTGTCATCTCTAAGCATTGTTCTGTTAATTCTTCTAGTAGTTCTTACCTGGCTTCACACATCTGCTGATCAATACTTTCAGCTAAAGTTTCAAGGGGACCTCTGCAAATCTACAGTGTTCACTGTTCAGGCTTCTCTTCTGTAGTAAATTGCACAGTGAACTCTAATTCCCTTAGTCTTCCTGAACCCCCAATTCTCCTTAACTCAGGGAGACCACCAGGCCCCCAGGATTCCCGTATCTGCCCTGTGACCTGGAGACTCTCTGCAGGCAATAGGTTGGGGCAGTCATAGGGTTCACTTTGTTTTCCTCCTCTTCGGCTTCACTGCCCTGTGTTACCTGATGTCCAGTGTCTGAAAACTACTGTTTCACACATCTTGTGTGCTTTTGTAGTTTTAGGTGAAAGGTAAAACTAGTTTCTTATTACCCCATGTTGGCCAAGGCAGAAGTTTTGGAAGTCTTTTTTTAATGTCTAAAACACTTCTACCTTGAGAGTCAATTGAAATAGTCTTTTCCACAATAATTATTTTCTGACCTATGGTTTAAAGATACGTCATGAAAATTTTATGCCACTATTTTTTTTTTAAGTCTGATTACAGATAAATTCGGGGGGCTATCTCCTCCTTGATTGACAGAGTTTATAATGTTTCCTACTCGCAAGTACTTCTGCTTCCTCTTTGCATGTGTTACTATAATGGGAATGTATATTTCCTTTTCGTTAAGGATGCCTTCAACAATTTGTCATAAAGTCACTTCTATTAGTGAATTCTATTTTTTCTGTTACTTTACTTTATCCTTAGTACCAAAGAGCTCCTTGTGTGAAACCAATTTGTTACTAAAATGTCGCTTTGTTTATGTTCTTGGAATTCTTCATACATTGACTATCCTCGGATGTTGACTGTTGTAGGCCTGTGTGGCAGGGTCTCTCTTCCATTCTATTTTTAATCCGATTATTGACAAAATAAACCCCAGTTTTGTTTTCATCCCCTTTCCTTCTCATGTAGAGACTGGCATAAAGGGCAATCCATAAAATTACAAATGAAAAGTTTTTTTGGTTTTAACTATTGTTTAGATACAGGCACAATTTTTTTTTTCTTTCAAAATAAAATGAATATTCAAAATAAAATGAATAAAAAATTCATTTTATTTTTTAACTTTTAGGTTCAGGGGTACATGAGCAGGTTTGTTAGATCGGTACATTTGTGTCATGGGGGTTTGATGTACAGATTATTTCATCACCCAGGTATGAAGCCTAGTAACCATTAGTTATTTTTCCTGATTCTCTCCCTTCACCCACTTTCTACCTTCCGGTAAGCCCCAGTGTCTGTTGTTCCTCTCTATTAACTGGAAATTTTAATTTTTTTTTCAGGTGATTCTAAGTATGACTTTCTATGTAAAGAAGAATTTATTGAACTCAAAGACATATTCTCTGTGAAACTGAAACGGCGTTGGTCTGTTAAACAGCAGAGAAGTGGTACTTTATTAGGTATCACACTCTTCATCTGCTTGAAAAAGGAACAAAATAAACTAAAGAATTCTACACTTGATCTTATTAATTTAAGTGAAGACCACTGTGACATATGGTTTAGGCAGTTCAAGAAAATATTGGCAGGTAAGTACTTCTTATGAGAATTTTTTTAATCAGCCCAGTTTCCTTGATATAGATGATTAAGCTAGACATGTTTTGAATAAAAACAACTTTTAGTGATGTTGAGGTAGTTTCCTTCTGTTCCTAGTTTTGTGTGTTTTTGTCATGAGAAAGTGTTGAAATTTGTCAAATACTTTTTCTACATTGAGATAATCATATTTTCCCCTACATCCTGTTAATATGGTATCTTACATTAGTTGATTTTCATATGTTTAACCATCCTTGTATTACAGGAATAACTCCCCCATGGCCATGGTGTATAATCTTTTAAAGGTGCTATTGAATTTGGTTTGTTAATATTTTGTTGAGGATGTTTGCATCAATATTCATAAAACACATTGTTCTGTAGTTTTTCTATACTGTGTGACTTTGGCATCAGGGTAATACTGGCTTCATAGAATGAATTAGGGAGTAACTCTTGAATGACTGTTTTCATGAAGAAGCTTCAATAATCTGAAATAAAATACTTAAATAATTTAGTTCACCTAAGAGTTGTTTTTAAAAGCATATTTATTTTTCTATTAATGTCTCTTTTGAACTATATAAGAATGTATTCTCCTTCCACTCATACATTGATGGCAAGTGTGTATATGTACTCTGTGGCCTGAAAATAAGAATTTTTTGAATAATCTTAAGATTATTTTGAATAATCTTTATACTCTGGTAATTGAGAATTACCTGTTTCACAGTAGCTTTTTCTAAAGGTTAATTTCCAGAGAAAAGAGAACATGTTTATTAGGATATATCTCTTAATGAATTCAGTGTATATGTAATTTCTAAATGACATTTTCATATTTTGCATACTAAATAAAATTCATAAGTACAAATATAATGTAATTCCTAAGTACAAATATAATGCAATTTGGATTTCTAAAAGTTATCTAGTTAAAATATGATCTTAGGATTGATTTTTTTTGGTCTGAGATTTATGAATCTTGCTTGTTTTTCTGTTAACTCATTTCTTCTTGTTTGCCACATCTATCAGATCAGAGTAGAGGCAACTTGTATAGTTGATGGCACAGTTTAGGGTTAGATGGCACAGGATAAAAATGCATACTAGACAAAGAGCAGTCACAGAGCGATGTTAGAAATTTCCAGTTCCAGCATCATTGATCAAGAAAACCATGAGAACCCAAGTTGATCAAAGG